CTTGGAAGCATTGAGTGAACGTTCCGTCCAAGTATGGGACTCCTCATCAGTGAGCATCCACGATCATGCACGCGGCATCGTAACTCAGGTTCTTAAGTATCACGCACAAAGTACCATGGCAAAGCAAAATTGATAACTGAGTCTTTTTTAATTAGTAGTTTACGCATAATCAAAATACTACCAATTATATTATTGAGGTAAAACATTTGAATGTAGTTGTTCCTCATCTTATTGTCGTGGACTGGAGAATATTAACAATTTTATTAGGATGTCTATTAATTTCTTGGTAATCATTATTCATTTATAATATGGATATTTAGTATTACGCTAAATCTCTACATAAGCGATAAAACTGTTTCTGTTGCCAAATATGATTTAACACTTAATTGGCCACTGTTTGAATATAATATACTTTCCATTATTTGTTCATATGTAACCAAGAAAATAACTTCGTCGGAAATGTTTCTTCGCTGAACCAATCTACTTCCACTTTTTTAACGATTGAATAGGGATATATCGTAGATATAAGATTTCTTTTAAATACCATTTGTTCGCTCACATGCTTCAAATAATATTCTTTAGTACAGTGGCGTTTTCCACAACATATAGTTACGTTTGTAGACAACAAACCAAACTTAATCACGAACATCATATTTTACATCAGTACATAAAGTACTTTTTTAATGAATCTATCTAGTACTTAGTTTATTCAAAATTATGATGTTAAACTATGATAGTGATAGTTGTAGGACAAAATTACGTCATCGTTGACATTGTAAGTAAGTAATCTAGATAATCAGTATTCACATTCAATTTATATTTCTATGTATCTGCTAGTCACAAATTAGTTACTTATTATTGAGCTTATATTTTAATTAATATAAAACTCATTAAATGTGATTCAAATACTGATTTATGCCTATAAGTATATAATTAGGAGTAAATATTTCTCATTGAGATCATGAATCGATTGATGTTAGACCATGACTGAAAACCTGAGAGCAGTGGACGACCGTTTCGTCCCAGCATGGGATTCCTCAGCGGTGCGCATAAACGGCTACACTCCTGGGATCCAAACCCAGGACTTACGGTCTCGCACGCTAACACTTAACGCTTAGACCACTCAACCGATCGGCATCCAACGGCGTTAATGTCTAATCTCATCCAATCCACGGAATTGCGCTGCCATCTTCCATGGTACTAAGGTAGATACCTGTCTCTACGTAACATTGATTTTTCACTTTTAAAAATCTAAATTGGATTAGATGGTTAATGAAATGTTATAATGTATCTAATTTCATAAACATGCAATTAGTCCATTCAACTGAATGGTATTCAAAATCAAGGTAAATGAATAAAGGTATTTTGAATGCATACATGCTTTAGTGTCTGTTTTTATGTTAAGCCTATATCCCTGATTCTAGCTTACGAACAGCTCAATTTATTCATTCTACTTGAGTCACATTCTGACCTTGTCAATTATTCGCTTATCAATCTTGACTGTTTTTATATGAGCGCGTAGGTGTGTGTACACTTCTTATCCCATTACTCATCACATGTCTGTAACTTATTTTTGTGTAACTATAAACATTGATTAACGTTTGGTTAAAGCGGAGTTGGCTTACCCGCCGTCTCCACTGCACCTCGTTTCTCCTCTCTCTATTCTATTCACTGCATATACAAAATATATGTATTTAAATGTCCATTCTCGTTATTTGACTTATTTAATTCCGTTATTGACTAACGCGATTTAATTCGATGATTATACACGAGGATAGGTGATAAAAAACATTCATACGATCTACTTGGAGTCAGATCTCGGGCCACTAAAGTGAGGAGCCCTTTCGACAACATCAGTCGATCTAAATGACGATTAAATAACGAACCTCCACAAAAATGTCTTCTAATATCTTACTTATCATACAAAAAAATTCAGTGAATCAGTTGATCATTCAGAGAATTGAGAAATAAGAGGATCAGTCGTTATATTGAAAATCTCCACTTGAAATGGTTATTCATTAAAGAACTTGTTTCATCTAAAGTCATGTGGTAACTAGCGTGGCTATTCTAATAGTTTAATCTCATTATTATTCAAACAACTCATCTGAACTGTTTCAAATACCATAAATATAGTTCATCTATCTGAATGAATTCAAAAAGTATCGTGATTATTTCTTTAATCTTTAACTCAGAACAAAATGAAAGATTATAGGTAAATGCCAGAAAAAACTTCTTCGTTTTCTCGAATTGTTCAAAAGACGAATATGTGCAGTGAACTAATGAACTGCTCAAAATGAAATAGACAACTTTCAGATAAATATACAATCACTTAACATTATTTGATCGAGGATAATTGGTTCGACCATCTGAGAGAGTATAAGAAGTCAATCAAAATCATATGTGAAATATTACCTCTTACAGTTGAGTAGAATGCTCAAATTTGAGTGTCTGAGCAAACAAAATATTTGGTAAGATGATTTGATTCCAAATCCTCGATTGCTATTGTGCGGCTTAGATTATACCATATTATCTAAGCTACAAACCTTCTCACACATTTATAACATCAGAATTAATAACGAAACAGGTGCTTGTGAAGGCAATCATAAAATGGGAAAGTGAGTTTTCCTTTAATCCGTTAACTGTAGAAGAAGCTAGTGAGGTTACTTGATTTGAAGTTTAAAGCCGGAAATTAAGAAGACAAACATACTAGTTTGTTTAGTTGTAATGATCTTCTTGTCATCAAATTGTCAATATCATGCGATACTTACTATAAACTGCTGCTGGAACACTACCCCAGTTTCCGAGAATTATCAGGTGATTGTGATTAATTTCAATAGGAATTTCAGTAGTTACATGAAGCATGAGGATAATTTTCCAGAACTTTCTTTCGAAAGTCTCCTCTAATTCAAATTATCAAACTTCTTGTTTATGTCAGGAAAGTAAAATCGATGAAGTAGTCTTAATCACGAACTTGAAATATTCATTTATAAAAAAGACTATCGTTATAATTACAACCTAGTTAGCACGTATCTCGAAACTTTCTTAATTTTAGCACTTATAAATAATTTAGGGGCACTCAGCTTATAACTGACACTTAGCTTTAATGATTTTCATCGGAAAGATGACTGTTACAAGCTATCATAAAACAATAATGGTACTCCAGATGATCAAATTCCATTCCACTTAGTTGACATATATACAGAAGATTCAGTTTCGATTTGTGCATACTTTACACATACTTTTAGTGCCATAAATTAAACTGTTCAAAACATCATCTTTAAATACTGTTTGAAATATATATATCACAACTGTTCGGCATCCTTTGAATTTTGATAATTTTATAAATTGTCGCTTATATACATTTAAAAATATTCATAATCCATCATGAAAGTTCTATATTCAAACTGCTTTATCTGAATTATTTGTATATTGATCCAAATGTTACAGGATTAATACGGATTAGCCCTTTTACTGCTAACTAAAAATTTATAAATACACTAAATTAGTTATATAATAAACAAACATTATTTCTCATGGAAGTAAACAAGCGAGAATTCACATGAAACTCAACTCGATTTTCAATAACTGCAAGAACGTATATATGAGATTCATTTGACCCAAATGTTTAAAGAGAACTTAATTATCACCGGCAAATTAATTGTAAAACTAAACTCGGTTGGACATATTGAGAACTTCTGTTGTATATATTAATTAAACCTAAGAAATTGTAATGAATCATAACACATCATAAATAGTCTAGATATAAACTAATAGTAACCTGAACGCTATCAATGTAGAGTACCTTTCTAACTTATTCAAAATGTCTTATACTAGTTAAATTTATACCTCAAGGATTCATGTCCAATATTTTAAAGCCAACGTGGCCAATAGGAAAAATAATAATGTTCACTTACTTATTGATAAAAGACAATATAAGGTAAACAATACCCCATAGTTCATGGATCTGAAATTATAACCTTTGTCAATATATCAACTATAATAAAAACAAGTGGTTAACCTTAACAGTTTAGTTTCCTATGAACAATAAAATAATTAGTTAACTTATAATATTATCATATCTACTGTAAGTTTTAATGATAGTTAATTAAAGATTCAAGTTCATTAATACGAAAGGAAAAGCTTTTATGTGTCTAGCAGAATAGCATGAATTCATTTTGTTTCGTAGGTTCTCGTCAGCTGCTTACAACCTGTGATATTTAGAAATCATAATTGTATAATGGGTTTAAATTGCTTACATGAAAAGATTTGTTTGGAAGTTATATTGAAGATATATTCGTAAAGTATATCATGGGTGTAAATGAAATTAATAGACTGAATATTGTAAATATATACCTAATGTGAAAGAATATTCTACAACATTAATTGTGACAACAGTTCAAAAGTGGGTTAGAAACAATTGATTACATAATGAATAAACATTGATAGGAATATAGTGAGTAGAGTTCAGTTGAAAGATTATTCATTCGAAAGATAGTTGAAAAATAAAATAACATCAATGATGTAATAAATGCGAAAGAAATAAAAAAGCAAAAACAATTTCTAAGGTACAGAGAAGGAATATTTATCACCAGGGCAAGGAGAGATTAGCCACCGTCTCCTTTAAATACATAGATCAGGTTTTTGACGCCTGATGGCAATGGCTTCAGCAAACTTCAGAAGACTGGAGTTTGGCTGCTTACTAATCCCCCTAAAGGATTGTAAGGTATCTACCTGATGTCCTGTATCAAGGAGATGTTTGGTGATTGCACTGTTCAGAGTCTTTCTTTCCCTTGTTCTAAGACTTTTTGGAACGTGTTCAATTGTTTCTAACCCACTTTTGAACTGTTGTCACAATTAATCTTGTAGAATATTCTTTCACATTAGGTATATATTTACAATATTCAGTAAGCAATTTAAACCCATTATACAATTATGATTTCTAAATATCACAGGTTGTAAGCAGCTGATGAGAACCAACGAAATAAAAAATGAATTCATGCTATTCTGCTAGAATCTTTGTTCTTGCTCTTTTCAAAATGTTAAAGGGAACTATATGTATGAAATCATTCTACTTAAATCAAATCTCAAAAATGGCTTACATAAGGACACTCTTTCTATTTAATAACATTACAGTAAACAATAAAACAGAATAGTTCAACGTTTTAAAGCCAATCTTCAGAAATATTTATATATTTTTTTCAATACATTTTTTTATTGATTACATTGTGCTTCTATTGAATAGGTTTTTATCTTTGAATGATTTTAATAAATTATCGGATCAAAATATTCACGTTTTTCCAATTGACGATTCTCATTACGTTTAAATAATATAGGATCAAAATATGATCGTTTATAAATAATTGGATCAAAGTATGAACGTTTAAATACAATTGGATCGAAATTACGTTTCATCAAAATAGGATTAAAGAGAGTACGCTTAAATGCCATTGGATAAAAGTTTGAATAATCTGATTCTACAAATCTTGTGTTACCATCTGTAGGATACCGTTCATCGTATTGCTTTCCAATCATGTGATCATTTGATTTATGGTTCGCATAATTTAGTTCATGCACGGGTATCTAATTGAAAATAAAAAAAGTATTCTTTATGGAGAGTTATAGATATATATAATGGCTTTATTCAGTATTATATTTTGGTACAATATAAAATTCTCAGCACGAGGTATCTCAACAAGTTTCTTTTACCAAAACAAAGGCAACAAAAAGAAAAAGGTGAAAAAAGATCTGAATCTATACAACTTATCAATTAAAGACATGCTTAAGAATAGAAGTAGTAGACTAGGCCAATCATAACAACCTGTTCGTCACAGAGTATATTTGCTAGGTAAGATATTATAGAACTTTTATACGTTTACTTGCGTGCATGGATTCTAACGTATTGACGTCTCATTCTACTAAAAGATATACAAGGAGAAGAATATGAATGAAAGGGATGGTTGGTATCTGACAAGATTACACTTGCCAGGAGTTTGCATGACTTTTAACAATTTGTTTGAAATATCATGCTCAAGATAATGATTCGGTTTTGTTCTGTTTTTTTCTTTTACTGAATAAATGTTTTAGCTTATAGATGATTGTTTTGTTTTGTCAAAGAATAAACCAATTTCATTAGTTGAGATCATGAGTCAATTGAAGCTAGACCACCAAGATCAGAGGAAAAGATATCACCAAGATAATTGACCTTCGACACTGTGTTTATCAAAGTATCCAACGGCACAAGCATTATAGTGTCCCAATATGGTGTTTAAATGCTGTTCATACCTCAGGCTAAAATTAATAGCTTGAAATTTAGACGAGTTAAGTGTGAGACGATTAACAATACACCACCATTCAATACGAGACAAAAATTCATACATTTCTATGAGATGTTAACAGGTAGAAATCAGCATACATACAGTGAGATCATCCGCATATTTCACAAGAGTAATTTCTATGGAAGTTGGAAGATCATGTAGAAAAAATAGAAAAGAAGAGGTGAAAAAACAGCTCCTTGTGGCACACTTTCATGAAACAGTAGACACACTGGATACTTTCCACCAAACACAGTGTATATGGCAGTGTATCTATGCCAAAAATAAGATTTGAGCTAACAAATCAAATCAATGGGCTTGACAAAACAGTCTCCGTCACTATAACGACAATATTCAACAAAATTAAGATGTAATTAATATGTTTATGAACAAACACAATCATTGATATTATTTATATGAATATCTGAAAATGTAGTAACAAACTTCTATTCTATAATTTTATTCAACAACATGTAAATACATAAATGATTCAGTTGATGAATATATATTGAGGAAAGAAACCTGAATTGTTGTAAAAGACTATTTGAGACAGTTATAAACACTAGTAATTATTTTAGAATTTACACTTTGCATTCATTCAAGCTTTTGTGTAATATGTAATTTCAGTAGTTGAAATCATGAGTCAACTGAAGCCAGACCACCATGGAAAACCTGGAAGCACTGGACGGCCGTTTCTTTCTATTATGGAACTCCTCAGCAGTGCCTCCAGGTTTTTCATGGTGGTCTAGCTTCGATTGACTCATGATTTCAACTATTGAAATTACTAAAATCTCCACAAAACCCCTTCTGACAATATATAATTCTTAGTAATAGTAGTTTCTTCTAATCATTGAATGAAGCTTTAGCAAAAATGATTTATATCATTTGCTTTTTGAAACTGAACCATATCATTTACTTCATTGTAAATCGTTGAAATAATGAAACACAATTCTTTCAAATAGTAATTCATAATACAGTAAAAATAACTAAATTAACAAGCATTAATAAATATCATTAGAAAGCATTTGACAGTGTGGATAGGAGAATATTATGGAAATTTCTTCGATACTTTGGTATGATTATTTGAGAAAATCGTCAACATTATCCGGAATTCATGCGACCGACTACAGTGCAAAATCGTGCATGGAGGACAGCTGACAGTTGCATTCCAAGTAAGAACCGGAGTCAGACAAGGCTGTCTTCTCTTTCCCTCTCTCTTTCTTTTAGTAGTCGACTGGATTATGAAGACCTCAACATCTGAGGGAAAACACAGAATACGACGGATAGCTCAGAACCAATTGGATGATTTGGACTTCGTAGATGATCTAGCCCTCCTGTCCCATACATACCGACAAATGTAAACGAAGACAACTAGTGTAGCATCAGCCCCTGCATCAGCAGGCCTCGATATACACGAGGAAAAAGCAAGACTGTAGTGGCATTGGACCATAAGCACACGATCCTCAAAGCTGAACACGAGACTAATTGGAAAATAGATATTTAATATTTAACGCGAAGAAGTACCTAATGATGGAGAAGGCGGAAACAAGGAATTGAACCAATCGGAGTTGGTTGGATGGCATCGCTCGGCCATTCAGGCGTGGTCTCTGCTGAGTGTTATCTTATATCTTTTATTCATATTCTATCTCAAGCCTAAGCTTGTTCTCCATCATGTGCTGAGAATTCTATATTGTACCAAAATATAATATTGAATAAAGCCATTAATAATAATAAAAAATAATAATAATAATTGTTACGATGCAATGAGTTGGTGTAGACGATGATGTAACTTCCACGTAAGATCTTATAGATTAGGAAGTTATATCATGACAAATCTACAATTTTAGGATTAGGTCTATTATTAGAGCAGTGATAATATCATAGTAGACCATAATTCTATAAGGTCTTCAAATACAACACGGAGAACACCAACCCAATCACACTTGATGGAGAAACTCTGAAAGTGGTGGAAAGTTTAGCGTAGATGATCGGATGCAGACATCAAGGCCAGGATTGGCAAAGTAAGGACAACATTCCTACGATTGGAGAACGTATGGTACTCAAAACAACTGTCAAACAATTTTAAAGTCAGAATCTTCGATACGAACATCAAGACAGATTTACTGTACGGAGCTGGAACTTTGAGAACTACCATCATCAAATAGGTACAAGTATTTATAAACAATTTTCTTCGTAAGATACTAAATGTCCGTTGGTTGGATACCATCAGTAAGTCTACTATGGGAGAGAACAAAAGAACTTGGGGAAAGACGTCGGAAGTTGATAGAAAATACATCACGGAAATCACTAAACTGCATCACAAGGCAAGAGCTAACTTGGAATTCCGAAGGGAGATGGAAAGAGGAAGGTTATAGAACACATTGCATCGAGAATTGGAGGCAGACATGAAAAGGATAAATAGCAACTGGAAAGAACTTGGAAGGACTGCCATGTTTTAGAGTTGAATTGAGATTGCTTGTAAGCTGTCTATGCACCTCCATGAGGGGTAACAGAATTAGGTCAGTAGATAAGTAATAAATAAAGTATCACAATTATTTTAATCTGACTTTTTATTCAAAATTTGATAATCAATTAATTTAAGAAAACTAGGTAATATGCATCGTCTAGTGATTGAAACATTGATATAGTAACTTGATTGATGAATGATAATATTTTTAAAGCTGTCAACCTATTTGCGGTTAGAAGGATTATAGTATCTCAAAAGTATTACCATTCATTATATATTTACTTTACTATGAACTAGAGTTTTTATAAACTTTCAAAAGCACATATTTTGTAGCGTGGTCACAATTGCCATTTACTTTACGAAGCATAGACTTTGAAGAAGATTACATCACTGTAATCAAATTGACCTAAGCAATATAATATGCTTGATCTGAATCAAAACATACAACTATTCAGTACACAATAAACAGTTCAAAAAAGTGAAGAAAAACAGATATTTTCTGAATTAAACCAAAAGATCAAATTTGAACGATTAACTCCCAACCGTTATTAATTAAAAAATATGGTTTGTTTACGGTGCATATCCTATAGTATGGTTTGTATAATAACAACTGTTTAATATAGACAAAGATAGCTAATGGTTGCTAGACCATTTCTCTACTTTCAATCAATGTGAAGAACATAAAGTGATGAAGTATCACAAACAAGTTCTTATTTTAAAATTCTAGGGGTTCTTTTTATAACGCATTTTAAGAACTATTCAATTGTAAACTCATTATTATGAAACTACATAAAGGATCAATCTGCATTTCCGTGGTCATAGTTCTAAATAATTATACTGTTTGATTATTTTAAAGAATCGAAGCTAATTATTACAGATAGTACACAATATTTGGTACATGTACCTCAGATGTACGACATAAGTTAGGTTTGCAATATATCTCAACTGATCCCAGACTCTGATTTGATTAAACTGAATTTATACGTCACCATAATACTTAACACACTAAGTAGTTATGGTTATATTTTATTGACAATAACACACTTTTGCACCATGTAGTTAGTTAGCATTATCATGATATTTCCTTACAAATTATAAATCTATCACATACGTCGTAAAACGTATCCAACACAAATATTTTGTATAACGTTGTGGAGATTATTAAGTTATTGATTGAGATTTTGAACCGAGTGATGTTAGACCACCATTTAAAACCTGGAAGCACTAGACGGCTGTTTTGTTGGATGCCAGCTCAGTGGTCAAGTAGTTAAAGCGTTCACGCGCGAGACTGAAGGCCCTGTGTTCTAATCCCGAGAGCGGGATCTTGGGTGCACACTGCTGAGGAGTCACACGACGGGACGAAACGGTCGTCCAATTCTTCCAGGTTTTCAATGTTGATTTAATAACAATCGGTCCAAGATCTCAAACAAATATTCTGACTGTTCATCTTAAACTAATTAAATGAAATTAAGTTTCTTCTTCCAATAATAAAAAATAGGCAAAATGAAATAGATCCTGGAAAAACTTTCATCAATCAAATGATTACTATAATCAAGTTAAGGTCATATGTCAAGTTATTGATTGATAAACATGTTTTGTTTTTCACCTCATAATAAAATAAATTTTTCAAACAAAATCGATCCTCATTTACTTAGTGTTTAAACAATAGGATTCTTTGAAATGATGACATTTTATAACAAGATGATAGAGTTTGTTAGCTTACTAGACGAATCATTTTGCCTTATATTTACCTATAATCAAACTTTAGTTTAATATTTAAATAGAAAACTTATTAATACTGATCAAGCAAGGATTGATCGAAATAAATTGGATTAGAAATTTTCTTGAAAGAATTACAAATATTTACAAATGGTAGACAATAGCGCAATTTCGTGAATTGATTGAAGTTAGACATTAACACTGTTGGATGATGGCTCAGTGGTTTAAAGGTGAAGCGTTTGGGCCTGAGACTGATGGGTCCTGGGTTCAAATCTCGCGGGGCAGGATCGTGGATGCGCACTGCTGAGGAGTCCCATAGTTGGACGAAACGTTTGTCTAGTGCTTTTAAGTTTTTCATGGCTATCTAACTTCAATTGACTTATGAATTCAATTATTAAATTACTACAATCTCCACAAAACCTCTCTAACTATAGTTATCGATACACAAATTAATATCATTATCATATTTTCTGTTGTTTAACTAAACATAAATATAGTCCTGTATAAAATTAACTAGTTTGAAGGTGAAAGATAAACCCCAATAAAATAAGTCAACTAAATATTTTAATGACAATAAATAGTCAGTCAGTCATCTAGGCACATATATATGCATCGGTCGAAGTTGCTAAATAGAACGAAACCTTCAACTTACTTCAATAATCATTTCATAATTGTTGTCAAATATACAACAAATCTGTCTATATTCTTCAAACAAATTATATCTACTTACAACTATAATTACGTACTTATGAATATTAACATGTTGATGTTGTTGTTGCTGTGTGTTTTTCTTTAAAAAAAAGTTTTATTATTTATTATTTCTGTAAATTCATAACAGATTTATCTGTGTATCTGTTATCAAGTGGAAAATAACAGAGAATACACCATCATTAGAATGAAATCAATATCCAATTATATCGATCAGTTGTTTTCTCTTTTTTTTCGTTTCTTTCTTTACTCACAATCATTCTCTATATGTTTACTTTATTCTGATTAATGATTTCTTTACTTTTTTTTCTCTCTCTAATAAACAAGTGAATAGAATGAGGTTCATTCTGAGATTATATAAAGAGAATAAGATTATTAATAAAAATATCATAAATTCACCGACTCGAAGAAAATGTCATCGAGACAAAATATATTACTAATTATTTATAATTTACAAGTAGTTAGTAAATTTCTTTTTCTAACTAAACTAAATAGAAGAATGGACTATAAGTATAATGAATAGACAAACATCTTCCTCGATTGTGAAATATTTGATTAAAACTAGTCATAAGGTTGATATCAAGTCAGCATTTGTAGTGTTCTACAAAACCCTTTAAGGATGTATACTAAAGTTTATGGGAGTCTTAGCTATATGGAAACTGAAAATCCCTTTAGGCGTCCAAAAACAATTTGTCCTTACCCTTAACCTACTCTGGTAATACTGATTTATTATCCAAAGTGTTTATCACATTATGTTTGTGTACTTTTTTTCTTTGTTACGGCTTACCTTCAACCTGTCTAGTTAACCTTTTAATTTCTATATAAAAATATCAGATTCAGATTTCAAATTTGTGTAGTAAGGAAAGAAGGCCTACGACCTATTTTATTCCTTTTCTAGTATGCTTCTATGAGTGTCCAGTTTTCTCTTGAATGAGTCAATTAAAAGTGAGAACAACACTGCTTCGGGTAACAGGTTCCAAGAATTGATGACTTGGTCTTAACAAGTATATGGGTGATCAGTTTGTTCGAAATGTACTGCGCAAATATATCACATAATTCTGATAAACGTCGTTTTCTTATTGCATAGAATATTACGGTTACTATTTAATTTATTTTAAAGTTATCTCATTTAAAATGGATGAAACCATATCAGACGGCATGAAAATATTTAGTTAATATGTACAAACTTCGATTATTTAATTAGCATGGAAGAAAGTTCTAAGCAACTACATATACTAGATCTTTATGTTCAACATTAATTGATCTCACTAGTAATTATCCATTGAAAGATCTTGACTATTGTTATTTGAAATAGTTATACAATAATAACAGTAAATATTGATGCTTTACTTTTATTATTAAATATCAAAAACCAACTTCATTTTTATATCTAATGTAGATATGAATAATGTATACAATATAATTTTAGAAGATGACTAACTCAATAATGCTATCGTTAATTACAGGATCGAATAAGACGTTTCATGACTTAGTGTGACCCATTTCAACAACAATATATTCTTGCGTCGTTCCTTTGTACTATTTAAACTTGAATTCATTTTGATTCGGTTATTTATTCTCTGAAGAAGTGGCTTACACTAAGTCATGACACGTCAGAAAATCTAACTGTTCTACTCATCGGGATATTACAAATCTATTAATTTATTTATAACAATCTACCCAACGCTCAATTTCTTCAACATTATCAAGTCAAACCTTGGTAATGATACCTATTTCAACTAGCATATGAACAGGTATGTTACTGTTTTTTTAAAGTTTTTTCCTCATTATTTTAACATTAAAGATATTTGTTCTTACTTCATTCGTATCAATTATTCCATACATGTGAACTAATTGTTTTTCAATGATTTCTTTCTTAAATATAATCAATTCTACGAAGAAATACAAGAATTTATTTATTAAAACTAATTTCGGGGAGCAATGATGGATAGTGGCTAGCAGTGGAATCCAGGACACGCGTTTCGTCCTATTTGGGACTCGTCATCTGGATGTACCTGCATCTCAGAAATGATGTTCACTCTGGGACTCGAACCCAGTACCATTTGCTTCATGCGCCATCGTGTTATCCACTTAGCTACTGAGTCCTGATAGCCACTTGCTTGTGCAACAGACTGATCAATTTCAGCCTTAAAGCTCAATGGGAATATACAAGCCGAACAATACCAAGTGAATTTAATTTTGGGAGCCTACGGATATGTTAATTACATAGAATATAAAGAGAATATTTTAAATGATCTTAAATCCATCATGGAAATTAAATATTTTTTTATGAAAAAGAAATCACGTGCTTCATAACAGATTATACCACGTTCACACTCATTTAATCCAATAAGTATAACAATTTAATAGCAGTTGTGGAAACAAAAACAAAAACTTTGTTTCGGATAAATTCATAACAAATCACTCTATTCATAAAATGTTGTATTTGCTTAAGCTATTAGCAAAACTCATCTTTAATATGATTAATTTAAACTAGTTACAATGAATAATGTTTTCTAGTGAGATTAGTACATTTTTATTAAAGTGTATATATTTTTTTGGTAAAGTAATTTATGACCACTTTTACGTTTTGATATTTATCATTGTTGACCGACACAATCGGTTAAAGTAATGAAATCTGAAGAGTAGTAAACAGGCTTTTCACTCTCGTCTTAAGACATCTCAGCATATCGCATTTACGACTATAAGGGCTTGTAAAGTCTATAATATCTGAGTTCTGGATGTAACCACGATCTAAGTCATAATTAATTGTTCCATATTTCCAGTGTCAGTCATTTTAATGAGATATGACCATAATCTTCACAACTTAAGCTAATGATTAGCTTAAAACGTACTATTTAGTTATACGATCTTTAGAAGATGACTAGAATTACTGTAGCACATACTATCAAGTGAAATATACAATTTATATTTCTTTGTTAAATGATTAATAAATCATGACTACTTTATAAATTAATTCATACAATCAGAATTAATGTCATGAAACTAAACACTTTTCGGTAGCATATGAATCTAAATTATTTATATTTAAGTATATGGTTAATTACTAACAGACCGGCTTCAATTTACCGCTATATTAAATGGGATTACTTCAATAGAAATTATAGATTTTCATAATTTATTGTATAAAATCAATTTATATTACGAAACATTGAACATATTAACAATAAGGACTTACAGCATTGATGATACTACTGAAAGCCATTAAAACAAGTAGACAATAAAATAATTGTTCAATAATCATCTTATTATTATGATGATCAAATTTATATATTTTCATAAAGTTTAATTAATCTGAAATATGAAGAGATTTGTGTTATTATCCTTGTCCAATTTTAATTTAGAATTAAGTGTACTGCTATTTGTTTCTTTTTACTGTTCTCTAGGTTAAATTGTGCAGACTAATTACAAATAAGAAATGAATTAGTCAAACGAAACTACTTTATATATATATATATATATATATATATATATATATATATATATATATATATATATATATATATGCACGTATATGTACACATATATGTATATATACATATGTGTTTATGAACTGTTTTTAAAGGATTTAGTTGTTTTCATTGTTCCTCTCTTCCTGTCTCTCTCTATCTCTCTGTGTCTTCCGTTCTCACTCAAGTATACCAACTATGAAAAATGAGTCTAGTAATTTCCAAACCCCAAACAATATATTATCTGATCTCTGTAAAATAAGAGTTTTCGTAATAGAAGTAGTTTTGATAATATTATTATTAGTAGTAGTAGCAGGAGTAGTAGTACTGTTATTATTATTATTATTATTATTATTATTATTGTCATTATTGTGATGGTCAAAGTAACAAACAAAAGGGACAGAAAGGTTAGAGTTAGTAATAGTGATTGCAGAAACTAAGAATAAAACAAAACGGTAAGAAAAAGGGAAAAAACATGACGTTTATTTGCTAAAATTCGATTTGCTAACTCAAAATGACTGAACTCTATAACATCCATCCTTGAACACACATACACATATCTATTAAGTAGATATGTGTTTACAGACAAGAGCTTCAATATATAATAGGCTAGTTAATAACTTCAACAGTGTTGGCAACTGTTGTTAACCTAATGATTAGTAATTATAAATGCCTTTTAATAATAATTAATTTTCATAAATGTTAACTAATCTTGAGATTAACATTTTTTTTTTACAAAAAAACAGGTACATGCTATATTTACATCATTGTAATTTAGTGTAGATTGGTAATTTTTCAGGGTTTTTTACTACAACCTATCATTCTAACTAGTTGCTTGGTTAACAGTTACGACTGTTAAGGAAGAAATTGATTTATTTAATTTCTAATGAATGTTTGGCTTATAGTAGGTAACATTTTAAAATAAAATCGCTGCTGATCAGAAGTGAACAACTATCATTTGGCTTAATTCTCATGCATTCTTCAACATATTATTCTTAATAACTAGGTAGCGTATACTGTTTAAACTCTGTCCGGAGCCGTTCTACAGTTACTCCTGGTCCCAAACACAGATAAATGAGAAGGGTTGAGCGTGAGGTTAGCAACCCCATTCCGTAGAAAACAACCAGAAAAAAATTTAAACAAGCCTTGATAGTTACGGGATCTTCATTTAAGAGAGTTGTAACGTTTCGATATGAAAGCCAAAATTCTTCCGAAATCATGAAGACGATATCTCCTCTAACAACCAGAACAACAACTAACATAGCTACATCGAATGTCTGCACAACATGGGAGATCGAGTAAACCACTCATATAGCTGAGGAAACGAGAACATACAACCTTGTCATTCTCATAACAAATGAAACCCGTTTAACTCAACCTGCATCGAAAAGATTAGATTTGGAAGAGATGTTGTTTCACTGTGTCTACGCAAAAGAAGATAAAACACATACACCAGGATTTGTATTGACACTGTTCGAGGGAGCACGAAACGCATCCACAGGATGAGAATCCTACGGATGCAGGAACATCAAAGCATCCTTGAAAACAAAGAAAGCGAGGACTACGAAGTATGTTGTTTGGTGCTATGCATTCACTAGAGATATCAGTGGAGATGATGAAGGTCAGTTTACGAGAGGCTGCAACCGATCATAGAGAAGTATACAGGAAAGGACTTGACCGAGAATGAATATATCATGAGACGAAATGGAATAAATGAAAGGGACTTAAACGCGGGAGAGTTTTCCAGATTTATGTGCCTCAAACAAAATTGTTACAGGTGGTACTATATTCTTCCATAAACGCATACAAAAGCTACAAGAGTTTCACTGGCCCACACCACAGAAAACCGGTTTGATCACATCTGAACTAATATTACGTTCGGGAGGACCTTAGAAAACGTGAAAACTGGTAGAGGAGCTGACATAGCTTATGATCACCACCTGGTTATGGCCCGACGAAAGAAGTACTAAACAACTGATCAGGCTACACTTCGAAATTATGGTACAGTCTATCCTCAAGATATTAAAAAACTAAACAAATTCAAAATTACTCACAACAATATGTCAGAGAACAAACTAGCTTCTCTCTGAAGACGAAATTAGGAAAGGATGTTCAGGGTGAATAAGACATACTTTGCAAAAATCATTAAACTGCATCACAAAACAACTCTTGACTTGGGATCGTCATGGTAAATGAAAAAGAGGGAAACCGAAGAACACACTGCGGTGAAAATTGGAGACAAGTAGCAAGAGAATTATTAGCACTAGGAAACAACTGTAAAATAGGGACTACGATAGTGTAAGTTGGAAATTCCTGGTTGGAGGCCGATGCTCCACAATGGGTAAGAGGCGTAAGTAAGTATAGAGTCTAACTATTTAATAGTTCTGCATTTATTTTAATATTTTAAACATGTAATAAATATTTATCTTGATTTTTTAGGACTAAAAAATATATTACTTAAACATAAAACGTATGAAAATAACTTTCTGCAATGTTTCATTTGAATATTACTATATTGAATACTTTCAAACATTTAAGAAGAACCATGTACGCTTTTTGAGACTAAATATAATCTCTAGTAAATAAACAAATCATATTTTCATATAATTGTTGTCAATAATTTATTACTAAGCACTGACTAATATCAAGTTTGTCTAAGTTTTCGGTGATGATTGAATTTTATCGATTAAGTCACATTGTTGTCACTGGTCTCGGTTATTCAACAATAAGATATCGAGTCGACAGAATTCAACCAGTTATAAATTACTAGATAAAGACGAAATAAGTCACATCTTAGTCCTTCAAAAGAATAGTTGCTGTAGGATAGTTCATTAGTAATGTCTCAGATGACGAAATTTGGTGAGATAAGTTTGAATCCTATATTGAGTATCAGTCCTTTCAAGATTATTGATGCAACTTGCTATGGATTTCCAACTTACATGAAATCCAAGTCCAGAATTCCCTATCGACTTCTTTTAATCGCATAACAGTACAAATTGATGAATAATCTATTGTAAGAAATTTGACACACAAAGAAGTATGAAGAATGTAAAATTAAATATAGTAAAATGTATACCAGATTTGTAATGTACTTGATAAGTGTATCATCTATAATTTTATTATATTAAAAATGTTTCATATGACACTAAAAAAAGTTCATTTAATTAACACATTAAATCATGACTTAACGACTGACAAAAAAATTTCAATAGTTGAGATCATTAGTCAATTGAAGCTGGACCACCGTGGAAAACGTGGAAGCACTAGACAGCCGTTTCGCCCTAATGTAAGACTCCTCAGCAGTGCGCATCCACCATCTCGCCCACCCCCAGCGAGATTCCAACCCACTACCTGTCAGTCTCGCGCGCGAGCACTTAACCATTAGACCACTGAGCTGGCCGGCATCAAACGGTGTTAATGTCTAACTTCAACTAATCCACGAAATTGAGCGACACATCCATCATTATCTTCAGTGATTTACTATCTCACAACCGACTCGGTTGAACTCCAGGAAATATCTCTTGAAGCCAATCACTAGTGAGCATATGTTGATTCATATCAGTAAGGACTTTGTGGATATTGTAGTAATTTCAATGGTTGAGATCATGAGTCAATTGAAGCTAGACCATCGTTGAACACTTGGAAGCACTGAACGGCCATTTCGTCCTATTGATTATTGACAGTTGTAAAACATGTTTTACATCACAATTCTTTATGACAGTGTTTTCTTCGATTATTTCTAAGTATTCTTCATAGAATTCCCTAACTTTTTATGTTTTCCTTATTTATGAATAAGTAGTTTCTATTTCATCCATTAATCTTATACATTTAATAAGAAACACAAAGAATAGAAAACAAACATTTTTCAAAAAATAGTTTCTTTTTAATTTTAGTTTACAGTTAAATGTTGTTTACCATTTATATCAAAATAAATCTAATTTTATTTAATAAATTAAATAAAACATGTAGGAAAGATTAAATTGTAAGTTTAATCATTTAAACTATTGTTTCCTATCTACATTATTCTATCTTCATTGTAACAAAAAAAGTATTATAAATGATCATCTATGTACTTTTGTGATATTTTCATTATTATTATTAAAGATTTATTCTATATAGTGTAGATTTTATTGAACCTGTATTTCCTGTTTGTTTGTTTATTTATAAACAATAACAACTTTTAATTATCAGAAGAGGTTTTGTGGAGATTTTAGAAATTTCACTCATTGAAATCATGAGTCAGTCAAAGCTAGACCACCATGGAAAACATGAATGCACTGGACGGCCGTTTCGTCCTATTGTGGGACTCCTCAGCAGTGCGCATCTCCGATCACTCACCCCGTGAGATTCGAACCCAGAACCTATAAGTCTCGCACCAGGCGCTTAACCAACTAGACCATTGAGCTGGCCGGTATCCAACGGTGTTAATGTCTAACTTCAACCAATCCATGAAGTTGCGCCACCGTATGCCATTGTCTTCACTGCGTTGATATCTCACAACAGACCTGGTTGAATTCCACCGGTAACGGCTTCTCACTAGAACTGCGCACTGCTCGGAACGGCTGTCCAGTGCTTCCAGGTTTTCCATAGTGGTCTAGCTTCAATTGACTCATGATTTCAATCAATGAAACTTTTAATTAGTCTACTGACTGTTTGTTCGTGACTTAAGGCTATATCGAGGAAATCCGTACAGGATACACATATTCCAACATGAGACTGATCAATTGCAGTCTTAAATAACAATGGAAAGATACAAGTAAAACGACACCAAGTGAACTGTTTGTTTGTATTTCAAAAAGTCATTTCTATTACTTTAAATGAACTAACTTGAATTTTGTTTGTTTTTTTTGTTCGAATTTTTATTTTCTTTAAAACAAACTTAAATCATTATATTGTGATAATGTAATCATCCGTTTCATTACATTTGTTCAGTTTAATAGTGATACTAATTTTAGTTCACCCAGTAGTATTTAAATGTTACTGATAGATTTTAAAGTTA